AATTTTCTATATTCATAATTCATAAGAACAATTGGTTAATTTCTTTTCTGTTCTTCACCCAAAAATTATTATAATGACAATTAATTATTTCATTACATGAAATAATCATAATTTCTTAAGTGTTTTCTATTTGGTGTTCATTTTGGAAATTAAAACCCAAAAAAAAGGAAATTCCCACTTGAATAATGTTGATTTGTATTCTATGACAAAAAAGAAAAGAATGATAAAGAGTAAGAATGAGCGAATGAATAGGAGAAGAACAATGTAAGAAATTCTTAACATCTTAAAATCTTGAAAAACATTATGATCCACTTGCCATATGTATCACTTTTTTTTGGTAGATCAAAATCACTCATCTCTCTACAGTGAAGAAGAAGAAGAAGATCTTTTTTTTTCATCTCAACAAACACACACACACAGGATATTTATGAAATTAATATTTTTTTCCTACTTTCTTTCCGTTTATTTATTTAATTTCATTCAAACGATTATGATTATGATGATGACAACATTGTTGGAATTTCTGTTTGAAATCTAAGAGCCAAACAACAATAACAACAATAAGATAAACAACAACAATAATCATACTGTCGGAATACAAGTGTTAATTCCATAATTTCTTATTTTTGCCAAGTGATAAGATGATGATCGTCTTTTTCGGCCCAAACAACAACTAACAACAACAATTTCTTCTCAAAGAATTGTTAAGAATTATGTAACATTCATAAGAAGACAGAGAAGAAAATATTTACAATGGTTATGATGATTATTGTTTTTGTTTCAAGTATGTTGCTTTTGAAGAATTTTTGTTTTTCGCTGGATACTTTGATCAAATTCAATACACCCACACACAAAAATAGAGAATTTATTACGAAACGATAAATATAATACCAAAAAAAAGAAAGAATCTAAGAATTTTGTTTCAAGAATCATCTAGTGAAAATGAAAAAAAGAAAGAATATTCATTCATTCAAGGATTAAGTTTCTTCTTTCAAACAAAATAAATATTTAGCTATAGAAATAGATATATCAATTCTCGACTATTTTAACCCCCACTGTAATTCACAACAATGATTAAATGGATGGTATCCTTTTTTTTGTTTTGTTTTTTCCCTAGTTTATTTCCAACAACAACAAAAACAACATAAATACTTTATCAATTTCATGTTAGCGAAAAGCAAATGAATATAATATTAATAAACATCCCAAACGAGAGAAAAAACTAAGAACTCTATAATAAGAAAAGAATAACAAAACAACCAACAACAAAAAAAAAATTCTGACAGGATTTAGTTTGGGATTTGTGATATAACAACAAACAACCAACTGAACGAACAAGAAAACTAAACTAAACTAAACTAATAATAAGAATCGAGAGAAAAAGAGAGAAAATATTGAAAAAAGATTTCCGTTCACATATGAGAAGAATTCATTACAGAATGTGTGTTTCTCATTTGGAATGGGATTCTGTATACATTCTAAATGTCAAAATTCTTCTCATTCACTCTCATTCTCTATGTTTTTGCAATCAGAAAAAAGTAAATGAACTGAAAAACGAAAAACGAAAAAAAAACCTATCGAGCATAAAAAATGTGTGTGTATATACAAAATCGATCAAAGAAAATTTAATTAACATATTAATAATTAATATAGCTGACAATAATAATAATAAATTTGTAAGTTTTGCCCGAAGAATTTCTTGGATGTTATATATAAATATATAGGAAAGAAGAAGGGAGAAAGAAAACCAGATGTTCAAAGAATCAAATGGATTCATTTGATTCAAACTTTTTTTTCCAGAGAAAAAAAAAGGAATCAAAAATAAACAAAGGTAAATTGAGTTAAAATTAGCTCGAAAAAAAACAATCAAAATGATGGAGACAAACAACGAAAAAACTTTCAAACGAGAAATGCAACAAGGAAGAAGGCTACCCATCCATTCATTCATCCATAACATCATAATGATTGTGAATGAAAAATTATTGTTTAAAAGAAACAAAACAAAATCATGATAATGATGATCACGAGTGAAACAAACAGCGAAAAAAATGACCAACACGGGAGGTCCAAAAAAAACCAGAAAAAAAAACGGGATGGACAACAGCAAACCTGTAATATATAACTGTCCAGTCACTAATCAAAATAACAAAACTTATTGACCATTCGATATTTGTGGACAGGGATCGATATATTTTTTTTAAGTTTGTTGTTGTTTTTGTTGTTAAAAATAGAAACAAACAATCAACAACAACAACAAATACCTGAAATAAAATGGTCAATGATGATGAGGTCATGATCATGACCATCATGATGATGATGACAGTGAGATAAACATCATTCAGTAAAACTTTTGGTTGGTTGGTCGCTCTCTATCGATTTTGATCTAGTTTTTTTAGTTTAAAAAATTTTTCGCTCATTAAAAGTTTTTTTTTGTTTTTGTTTTTTTTTTGGCTGTTTTATTTTCGTTGAATTTTTTCAACAAAAAAAATAATAACCAAAAAACAGCTAATTTACTATGGCACCACCACCACCACCATCACCATCACCATTATCATCATCATCATCGAAGATGATATTGATGATGATTATGATGATGATAATGACCTAGCAATTATCTTCTTTTTCATCCCAAAATGAAATTTTTTTCTGTTGTTTTTTCTTGAAAAATTTTCTTTGAGCAATTAAGGACCGGTCTCGACTTTTTTTCTCTATTAGTTTTTTTTTTCAATGCGAATAAATTTACATCGTTTTTTTTGCTGTTGGTTGGTTGGTTGTTTGAATAAATAATAATAATAACAGGGACCCGGAATTTAACGATTTTTCAAATAAAATGTAGATGCATGTATGTAATGTATGTTATGTCTAACAGGTTTACAGACGGAAGGTCTACAGCTATAACAATAAGAGGAGAAAAATTGAATTTTTTTTTCATAGCCAAAAAACAAATTATTATTAATATTTCTATTGTTATTGTTTTGTGCATTCCGTCTAATCGAAATAATAATTTGTTTTCCCAGTCTCTCTGTCCGCCTGTATTCTGAACGAGACTCATACATAATCGATGATGAAAACATAGGGAAAAGAAACAAGAAAAATGATAATAATCCATATAGATCAAATAGTAGAAATCAAGTAAATTAAGTCATCATCATCATCCGACTACATAATGGCCATTATGATGATGATTATCATTACCAATTAATGTAAAAATTTATCTATGAATAACAATAATTTGTATTCGGACAATTTCGACCTCATATGTTTTTTTCTCGTTTTGATCCCATAGAAACTTGAGATAATAATCGGTTGTTAATTGTCAAGATATGATATAATATGCATATAGTGGACAAATGACAAGTGAATTTCATTCAAAAGAAAAAAAATTCTGCTATATTTTAAGGTTTGGTGCGTTGTGGTTTTGTCATTTTTCTTTGATTCTTTTGATGTTTGTTTGATGTATAAATGGACCACCATCATTGAATTTTGATCCGAAACAACTCCTCCCCAAATCATTTCAATCAAATGTTTCTGTGTCAGACCTAGAAACTAGACCAAAAAATGTTTTTTAATTTTAAAAAAACCACACGAATTGAATTGAACTAATTTTTTTTTCGTTAGTTTGGTTTTCACAATTGAAAATTATCAGTGGAATTTCTTCTCAATTTGAAAATCAATCAATTTGATTCACAAATCATGAATTATTTCGTGACTATGTGAAAAAAAATTGTTCGGTTTGACCTCTCTCTCTCTCTCGGATTTGATGTGAAAAACACTTTCACTTGTCGATTATGAAATGATAATTATTTTTTGATTTTTGATTTTTCGGTTCGGTTCATTGATGATAATGATGTAGGGTAATCAATTAAAATCAATCAATTGGAACACTACGACCATCGATTGATTGAACTAACCATCTTAAATATCCTTGGTATTACTTAAAGGTCAAAAGATCAAGGTTGAATCAATTTTTATGTTTTTTGTTACATCACAACTACCTGTGTCTGCGCACGTGTGTGTGTGATCGCTTTATTTTTGCTCTAATAATTACAAATTGATTTATAAATCTACAGAAATCCATACAAATAGCATCTTTATCGATTTCACAAATTATATTGATGCCTTTAATATGAAATTGAAAGGAAATAGATTTGAACTTTGAACTCTCTCTCTCTTTGCGTTTTGTCTTTATACAAGACAATCCACATTTGACAAGCCATTTTAATCATTAATCATCATCATTTTTTTCTTCTTCGCATGCAATTACAAATCAGATTTTTTTGTTTTCTTATTGTATTTTTCTTATGGCAATAATAATAATAATTGTTCATAACATTCTTTCCATTCATTGCATTCATTCGATCTGTAAAATGTCGATTATCAAATGAAATCAATGAAATCAATGAAATAATAATTTCTACATTGTTTCGATCATCATCATCATCATTATTATTGGCTGATGTTCATAGATGATGATCATTATTGATTTGATTATGATTTGTGATTCGAGCAATAGCCCAAAACTTTTACATAAATGTATTGAACCATGAAAATATTGCAAATGAAAAAAAAATATCGATAATGACAAATAAGAAAGAAATTCATTGCATTTTTTTTTTCGTTTTGTTTTGTTTCTCATGTTTGCATAGTTTCTTATTTGCTTCTTTTCCATCTATATATTGAAAATACACACAATCAATATATCACTTGGAATTTCATTCATTCATTCATTATCATCAACCATCACGACAATTTCAATTGATAATGATGATTTTGATGATAATGATTGTTCAGAGAGAGAATTTTCGTTCTTTTGGTCTGCCATTATTATTATTGTCTGTTTTTTCGTTTGTTTGTTTTAATTACCTATGATGATGATAATAATTATGAATCAAGAAATAGACAGGGAATTGATTAAAAAGCAAAAAAAAACATTCGCTTTAATGATTATTTCTTCATTGAAATTCCATTCAATCATTATGATTAATCTACATTCACAGATTTTTTTTATATTAATTTCAACAACAACAAAAAACAACAACAGAAATCAATCAAAATGTTTTAGTAACCATTTTGCAATACGATGTATACAGAATATTTTTAAAAATATTCTTAAAATAAACATAAAAACATATGCTATACCATTGATAATATAAATGACGGATGAACCAAGCCAAAGACCAAGATGACCACCAAATATAGCCAATAATTCATTATCATCGATAACTATACGATAACGTATTGATTGAATTGGATATGTTGAAAATTGTATACGAAATTGTGTATAAGTTTTTTTTGTTGTTTCATATGAAAATTTTGTTGATAATGAATATGTTTCTATTCTTTCCAATTGACATTCATTTTGGCAATGAAATTCGCATAGATTTTTATAAAATAAATATTTTGAATAATCTTGTTGATCATGTGGACATACTGTTAATTGTTTTTGACCACCATATAAATGTTCAAGCATAATTGGTGGAAAATAATAATGACAGGTAATATTTGCCAAAAAATAATCACCAAGAATACAAATACGTAAACATTCATCACGATTACGATAATTTGAATAAAGTATATTATCAAAATAATAATTTTTACAATATGAATGTAATGTTACATCTAATTTTGTAAATGTAAAACTAATATCCAAACGATTATTATTTACTACTGAATATTGATTAAAATCTTCAATCGATGGTAATTCATTTGATTTATGAACTATGGAAAAAAATTTACGAAAAATAAAAAATGTTATTTTAGTAAAACAAAAAAACATTTACATACTTGCAAACAAAAACAAACTATCAATATTCATAAATTTCCAAACATCATCATTAGCTTCGATTTCGATCAGAATTTCTGGATTTAAATCAGCAATCATTCTTGTATATAATTTTGAATAAATATCATCTAAATTATCAACGATATATATTTTTGAACATTTTTCTGTTGTTGAACAATTCGTTGTTGTATTCGGTATTATATGTCGCCAATCATCAGACATATCAACTAAATTGGAAAAATAAGTAAAACATTTTCTACCAAAATAAATACTTGGTACATATGCTTTAATCATTGTACAATCAATTGGTCCTAAATATTCTTCCGATATATTATCCATTCTTCGATAATTTATTGGTTTATATTTGCATGATCGTATGATTGATGAATGATTTGCACTAAAATCATTGATTAAATCATATGTTGACATCTTTTCCAGCAAGGAAGATTCAAAATTTTGAAATATTTTTCTCAATTCTTTTTCGGGAATTTTTTTGAAATCACCATTTTCATATTTTTCAAGAAAATTTGCAAAATTTTCATCATAATCTAAATTTGAGAGGGGAAAAATGAAAAAAATATACATTGAAAAAAATTCATATATAATAATGCATACATGCAATAGTTTCTGGTGTTAAAATTGATGGTGCACAGATTGTTATTGCAGGAAAATCAGCTTCATTTGCATCAAAATGATCCATATGAACAATGAATAAATTTGATCTTAATTTAACCATTACCATACAGTATATTGTCCATACAATTAAACCACCATATATTAAAAAACGAATTAAAAACCAAAAAAATTTTAACCAAAATCTTTTACAATTCATTTTAATCATCATTATCATTTATGAATTGTATGGATAATTTTTAATAAATGAAAATTTTCCTAGAAAAAAAAACAAAATCTATTTGGAAAAATTGTTTTGTTTTTTGTTTTTGACATATGTTCAAATCAAATAAATAGACAAAAAAAAAGGGATAAAATAAGTGTTATTGAAAATCAATCAGTATTACATATCATATGATTTTGAATGTCTAATGCATCGATAAGTGAAATGTAAACATAATAATCGTAATTTTTTACCAATTATACAGACTAAAAGTTTTAAAAATGGTAACAAATAATTGATAATAACATTATAAATAACAATAACAGATAATCCAAGCCATAAACCCAGATGTCCACCATTTATACCAAATACTTCAATATTTGACATTAAATTTCTATGGCTATAAATTTCAAATGGAAATGTTGAAAGACGTATATGAATTTGTGAATATGCATTGGTACCGTTTGGTGGTTGAATTTTTGTTTGATGAAAATCAATATCAAAATTATTTTGTATACAATCTTTATCACAATATTCAATACAATTATTTCGATGTTGAAGATATACCAGATAATCCTTTGATATCAAAGAAAAAAAAACGAATCATAATTATAAAAATGATATGTCAATCATAAGCTGATGAATTGATTTTTGAATTACCTGCTGGTCATGAGGACAAAGTTTAGCCCATTTTTCTACACCCTTCAAATTGATTATTGTAACCATACGAAAATAGGAAAAACAAGATACATTTGTAAAATAGAATTTCAAATTGATACACATATTAACACAAACATCAAATGATTGAAATGTTTCATATGAAGTTATTTCTTTTTTTGAATAATAAAAACAATTTGAATTATAATCTGTTTCATTAATTATTCGATTTGTCAATGAAATTTCCATCATATGATTAGGTTTTAGTTTATAATAAACAAAATGTTTTAATTCGGGTAATATTTCAGGTGGATGTACTAGATGTTTGTTTGTTTTTTTCATTGAAAACGGAAACAAATTTGATTAAAATGCAACCAAACGATAGGATTTAACAAACAATTAAACAAAATACTAACCAGCAATACCAATTTCTTGTGGATTTGCCCAATTTTTCCATTGTTCATTAGCAAGTTCCAATTCAATAGTAATGGAAGGATTATAATCAAATATCATTCGTGTGAAAATTTTTTCACATAATTTCTGTATGTGTAAAAATAATTTAGAAAAAAAACAAACAAAGAATCATCATCAAAATCAATTGAATAGTTATAATTTTACAATAAATATTATTTACAATATAATCATCATGATGTTTTGGTATTTGTTTCCCGGTTACATTAGGTAAACGATGTTTCCAATCTTCACTATTATGCAACATTTTGCTAAAATATGTCCAACATTTTTTACCTGCAAATACGCTATCCAAAATCGGCCATATTAATGAACAATTTAATTCAGGAACATATCGATATGATTGATTTATATAACGAAATCTTATTGGTTGATAACGACATGAACGTATTACATTATCAATTTTTGCACTAAAATTATTAACAATTGCTTCGATGGTATGTTTTTTCATTATTTTCGATTCATAGTGTTTCAATTCATCATAAAGTAAATCCGATTGTTTATCCATATTTTCGTTAATGAATGTAGCAAATTCTGGATAAAATTCTTCATAAAAATTTCAATTCTGATTTCCCTTTTTTTTCTTAAAAAAAATTACAATATGCTTACCTGACAATAATTTCGGTGTAATTATAGTCGGTGCACAAATTGTTATGGCTGGAAATTCAACTTCATCTTCTTGTCTCATTTGATGATCAGCTGTTTTAATTTTAAATTGTTTATGTGATTGATAAATTGATAAAACTGCTAAACAAGATAAAATTAAATAAATTAATAAACGAAATGACCACCAAATTATATTTGAATAGGTAAATTTCCTTGTTAATTGTTTAAATGATGATGAATATCGTTGTTTTTTATCCAAAATTGTCATATTCATGCTTTTTATTATTGAAAAAAAATATAAATTTTTGGCAATTGAATGAAATCAATTAACATTTACCGCTGATAGATTTTCATTAATAGATTCTAAATTTGATTTTTTTTGCATGCAATTTTAGTTTATACCAGTCATATTAATTCCAATGACAAAAAAAAAACATTAGTTCCTATGGAAAAAAATAATGGATATTACCTTATCATCAAAACTCAAACCATCTGTGTTTATTTATTGATCCAATTTTTGTTTTGTTTGACTAAACAAATAAACGATTGAAAAGAAAATAAATTACGATATTTATCACATTATTTATGGAATTTATCATCATAAATTTTAGGAATTTTATTCGATTCAATTCTCAGTAGGAAATAAGAAACAAAAGTCTGGCCATCATAATCATCATCACAGAAACAAATCAAACAAAACCAAAACCAGAATGAAAAACGCGTGTCCATGTACCTGACCACACGGTCGTTTTCACCTGATTTTGTTTTTTTGCCAATGTGCAACCACATTTACCCAAAAATCAAATAAAACCAAAACAAAGGAAACATAAATTTTCCAAATCATCAACAATTTGGGTGTAATTGATTGACTGGCTTGAGAAGAAACGAAACAAGCCAAAAACAAAATCAGTAGCTAACCAAGATAAACAAAATTAGAAAAGAATTTGAAAACCTTTGAAAAAAGATTTTGAGTTTAGACATAAATATTGGCTTTATTTGCTTATGGCGATGGTCGCGTGTTTGTTTTCAAATTTTTTCCTGTCCAATTTATTTAGCGTTTTTTTTTGCCCAATTCCTTTGGTTATTCAATAATAATAATTTGAAATGTTTGAAATTGAAACGAATGAAAAAAATCAAATTTACCTGTCATCATCATTATATTGTGAACTTAACTCTTTTCTTTCAATTGTTTGTGTGTTTAGGCTTGTTTGTTTACCATGTTGATCGATCCTTATTGATTTGTGTGCGGTCGAATTTTTCGTTGTTATTTTCTTTCCTGTAATTATTTTTCTTTCATTGAAAATTTTTTTCTTGTAAGACAATTTTTGGGAAGGATGTTTATTTTTTAGGTTTGGTTGATTGCGTGTGTGTGTGTATGCCAATCATCAATCAATATTGATTGGGCAAGAATTTCTCATCGATGATGATGATCAATAATTGATTGACATGATGTGGTGAACTAAAAAATTTTCCGGTTTTTTTTTCGGTTATCAATTTTTTTTTTTGAGTTTCGAAAAGAATTTATGAAATCTTTGAATAAACAAATTATTGATACCTGTGCTGCCATCCTGTGATGTTCGTTGTAAAAAAAAGTCAAAAAAATTTTCTGACCTTTAACAACAAAAAAAAAATTCAAAGTTTGACTTCAATGTCAACATTTTAGCAGAAACTAATAATTATGACATGACATGATGAAAGATGGTTTGATCTTTTCAATTATGTTTTAATCATCAGTAAGTTCAATGAAATCATCATCAATATGATTGATTAATCAATGAGTTTCAATCAATCAATCAATCAACAAACTAACCAGGCAGTCAAATCCAACCAAAAATCTGAAATTTTGACTTCGGGATTAATGATACATGAAAAACAAAAGGTCTTTAAAACTTTTTTTTTTGGTAAGGTTTTTTTTATCAAAGTATAATTAACCCTCAATGACTATATAAATAATTATATGTATTGATTTTGAAGATGCTTGAAGGTCAACTGGAAGAGGGAAATTATCATCCAAACAAATCATTTTAAAACAAAAAAAAAATCAACCAAATGACCATTAAGAAATTTCTTTCCCTCCTTATCTGCAAAACAAACAACAACAAAAAATTTCATTTGTAAATGATGCGAAACATTTGATTTGAAAAAAAATTTTAATTTTTTTTTCATGGTGACACGTATTGATTTATGGTGTTTGTGTTATTATTGGGTGGCATATGCTTATTTTTGCATAGCAAAATCCTGAAGACAGAGAAAAAAAATCCAAAGTTTTAAGCATTGATTTATAACGCATTTCTTATCTTCGAATGGGTTTTTGGTGATAACTAATTATTCAACTGAATGATTGAATGAATGGCAACCACAGTTATTTATTAGAGATGTCTATTGAAAAACTAAATTATTCTAATCAAAGCAAATCAAAAAATTCCAATTAGAATTGCATCAAGCCAACAACAAAAATTACCGAAAAAAAAAGTTGGAAAATTTTTTTCCTGTAAAATTGAAATAAACCAAAATAACAAAACATGAACAAATGAAGGACAAATCTTTAGGCGATATTCATTTTTGGTGAAGCAAAACAAAACAAAACAAACAGAAAAAAATTACCATTTTAAATCGATTATTATGTGCTTTCTGCTTTTTGTTTTTTTTTTCAATCATCATCATTATTATGATTATTGCACATTTTTTTCTTCTTAGAAATATTCAATTGAAGAAAGTCTGAAATCAAATAGGAAGAAAAAAACCCTTGAAATGAATATATATTTTTTTGAACAAAATGAAATAATGTTGTTGATATTAGTGCCGCGTGAACGATTTTTGATAATATTTTTTCATTCTTGATTGGTGGTGACAATCCTAATTAACGTCCAGCCAGAAGGATGATTATTCCATTTTTTTCTTTCTCTCTTTTTTTTCTTGCTTCTGATGAGGCGAAATAATGTGAAATTCTTTTTGGTTTGCTTTTTTTTCACTCCAATATAAAAGCAGCCAGGTTTTTTTTCTTAAAGAAAATCATCAAGTGATAACGAAAAGAAAAAAAATTCCTGCTTTTGAAAAAAATAAAACATCGAAATTTTTCCAAAACAAAAAACAAAAATGAAAATCTTATCAATTTCGCTGTTGTTGATCGTTATTTTGGCTTTGATTGCACCATTCGCTATGGCTCAACGTGGTGGTGGTCGTCGTGGTGGCGGTGGTCGAGGTGGTGGTCGTGGTTTTGGTCGTGGCCGCGGTGGTGGTGGTGGAAGAGGTGGCGGTTTCCGAGGCGGACGAGGTGGTGGTGGACGATTTCGAGGTTAATCAATGACAAATCAACCCAAAATCTGTCAATACAAAACACTGTCATTTTAAATCTTAACTTTTTTTGTCATTCCCGAGTATTTATGGGAGAAAAATGAAATTAAAATTGAGCAATAAAAAGCAAGAAATTTGAAACTTTTTCCATCAAGTATATTGCATGTGTGTTTGTGTCCTATTAGCCGAATTTGTTTTCGGAAACTTTTGTTTATCTGCTTGATTTGTTTACTACCAATCAATCAATCAATCAATTGATTATCAATGTAAAATGTACGATTGATTTGATTTTTGATTCGTCATTTTGTTTATCCCTTTTTTTATATGCGTTAAATTCAGCTTATCAATCAGATCGATCGCTGATTGTAATGCGTTTTTTCGCTTGAATTTTTGTTTTTTGTTGACATTTGTGCATTGTGCATTTCTTATTTATGTTTTTCCCAATATTTTTGTTAGTTATTTGCTTTTTTCGACTTGATCACAAGGCAACAACAAACTGAAAAAAATATGAATTTAACACGTAATCATATTCTATGGCTGACCATAATCCTATTCAGCTTATTCATCATTTCAACATTTGGTTATATTATCAATCAAGGAAGTAAGTT